GAGAGGCCCGCAGCCCCCACCCCTGCTGTCCCCCTCTCCCTGCCTCGATCTGTCAGTCACGCACTAGCGGTCCCCTCACACGTGGTCCCTCACAGTCCTTTCTCTCTCACACGTCCATTTCCTCCCAGATGCACAGACAATTCTGTCCCTCCCCCCTCGGCTCTGCCTGCCTGCGCCCTTCCCACCCCGCAGATGCACTCCCCACACCCTTGCCCTTTTCCTCTCGCCACCTCTCCCGCCACCGCTGTCTGCCTGCATGACTCACGCCTTGCGCTGGTGTGTGTTTGCTTTTTTGCTTTGTCAATGAAGACACTGGCACATTAATTACCAGGCCTGTCCTCTGAGAGGCACGTCAGCATCTTGGCAATAGCGGGTGGAGGTGTCAGCTCACACTCATCTTGCTTTGCCTTTGAAACTCCCATGGGCATCATCTCCCCAGGGAGCCCCACTCCGTGGCATGTGGCAGTGAGGACACGCGTCCCCGGGCTTGATGTGCACAGACACACAGAAAGCACAGGCCACAGAACACGCCTGTCGCTCCGCAGGAGGGGGCATCTAAGGCTGTGCTCTGCACATCGGATGCCAGGCTGGGTGGGGTGTGTGTTTACAGCGCAGAGCACGAGTGGGCCCTCCTCCTGCCCCTCCGTGTTGGTGTCTCGGTGGGGTGACGCAGAGTCAGCCTTGTGTCACGTCACCCCACGGGCACACGTCAGAGACGCAGAGCCCTGTGCGCGCTTCTGTGCAGAGCCAAGGCCCAGCCCCCTCCATGCCTGGCCCCCTCGGTCCCTGGGGCCCAGGCCCACAGAAGAATAAGAATGATTAGACATCAGTGCTTCCCACTGCCCCCCAGCCTGACATGGACCTGACATGGACCTGACATGTGTGTGGGGATTCAGGGAAGACACGGACTATCCCAGTTTGCCCTGGGCTGGGGCCGGAGGACAGGGCTGGGGGACAGAGACCCTGCAACCCACCATTACAGCACAGCGGCATGTCTTGAAAGCCTCTCTCATTTCGAATCTTAAAAACTCACCCGGCTTTTAGCATTATTCATATAACATATCTGTCATCATGGCAGTTTTAAAATGTCTTCATTACCTATCGTCAAAATTTTTTTCTAAAGCTTTTACTTAATAGTGACCTTCCTGGAAGTTGAGTCTCAAAAAACCCTCCAGCTAATCCTGGAGACTTGGAGACACAAACACGAAATATCGAGGGGACGGGCCCGTGGGGTAAGGGTACGAACAAGGACTCTTAGGGTTACATCCTGGCTCTGCCAATTATTAGCTGTGTGACCTCAGCTAAAGCAGGCAAGCTCTCTGTGCTTCAGAACTTTGGCTTGTAAAATGGGCATAACAATAGTGCCCCCCACATGGGGCTTTTATGAGGGTTAAAGGCATTCGAGTATGGAAAGTGCTTAGAACAACGGCTGGTACCAGTATTTTTCTGTAGCAGACCAACAGGAAGTCACCAAACCAACGACAGAGACCGAAATCGGAGGTCATTCCTGCCTCCCTCCTAGGACGTGCCCCAGTCCCCAGGGCCTTGCCTCACCTGCAGCTGCAGGCCCCTGTTCACGCATTCTGTCTGCAAGGCGGTCGGGCAGTGTTGCCCTGGGTTCCGGGCATGGTTGCTGCACCGGGTGGTCGGGGCTGCCAAAGACCTTCCAGAGGGGGAGGCAGAGACACGCACACGGCGTCTGGACCATATTCCCCACTGAAGACCCAGAGATGAGTAAATGTCACTGCTTGTTTCAAAGACTGACTGCCCAGCTGCAGGGAGCGAGAGGCACAGATTAAAGAGGTGAGTGCAGCGCGATGTGACTACAATGACAACGTCCCAAGACGGCCCAGGCCTGGGACCCTCTTGCCTGGTGTATATGTCAGTAAGGTCTCTTTTCTCACAGCACCGCACCTGCAGGGCATTCTAGAACCACCTGTACATGTAAAATAACAACACCCCCCTCCCACTCCAGACCTACTCCATTCATCTTCCTCGAACTTACTGCCATGTGACATATTCTCACATATTTTGACAAATGTTGACAGATGCTGCCCCACTGACATGGAAACTCCCTGAGGGCAGCACCATCGTTTTGCTTCGTCATAAGTCCCCTGTGCTCGGAGTGACAATTGGCAGGTAGTAGATGGTCCGTAGGTGTCTGTTAAGTAAGAAAAGGGTGGGCAGCCCTGGCCAGCGTGGCTCAGTTGGTTGGAGCATCATCCTGTACACGGGAAGGTTGCAGCTTTGATCCCCAGTTGGGGTACATCGATGTTTCTGTCTCACACTGATGTTTGTTCTCCTCTCTCTCTTTCCTCCTCTCTCCCTAGAAGCAATGAAAACATGTCCTCCAGTGAGGATTTAAGAAGTAAAATTAAAAAGGGAACTGTAGGCAAATCACTCTTCAGTGTCTCCACTTTCCCTTCGGTGAAATCAGTGATGAAACCCCACTCTCACTTGTCCACAGGAAACTCTGACTTGAAAAGAGATCATCCATGACCATCAGACATGCTTTTGACTCATCCACAGACAGATGCACATAAATCCAGCTGTGACCAAACCCACACACGGCTCTGCAGTCCCTGTTGTTTAAGCAACGAGGAGCTGTGGACACAGGGTGTCCACTCCACAGACTCGGCCCTGAAGCTGGTCCATCCAATCCTGGAAATGGTGAACACACGCTCGGCCACGTTCAAGTTCAAGTAAAACCTGGGAATGCACTTTTCTCTTCCCTGCTCAGTGAACTCCTACTCACTTGTCAAAACCCAAGCCACACTGCCCAAGCTAAAGCAGTTCCCCACCCCATTACCAAGTCGTGGGTTTCTGGAACTCTTCCCCACTAGACTGTGAGTATATCGATAACAAGGACTTGGGCTTGTTTGTGACCACGTTCTGATTCTGAAGAAATGGTCACTGACCAGGTGAGCAAACACAGCAAGGACAGTCCCTATTTCTTGACTCCGAGAGCCTGATTGTAATTCTCATTCCACTCCAATCAGGCAGGCGTCAGCTCTGCTGAGGGGGAGGACGTTACTGTTTGGCAGCGGCAGTTCCTGGTTTCGATAACCTGCTTCAGCCAGGTTGGAATCTATTCCAAGTTAGCATTTGTTTACACTCTGCGGGCGGTGGAGGGGTGGAGGAAAATAGTCACATAATCCAGGGGAGACCACGCCATGCTGTAGAGGCGCCCTCTTCCTAAAGCCATGGACCCCCAGCGTCCAACCTCCTCACAGCCACTGGGCTGATGGAAACAGGAGCCCCCAGGGGCTCAGCTTTCCCAACAGGTCAGCAGCCCCTCTTTAGGGGTGGAATCAGCTGGGAAGGAGAGGTCAGGCTCCTGGGGCCCAATGGGGGCGGCCCCACCCCACCCCGCCCCCACCCCCGGCCTGCGCTCAGAGAGGTCGAATCCCACCCTGCACTCCTGTGAACGCCTGCTCCTCCCTCAGCAGCTCAGGCACAGCCAGTTCCTTGACCCTCCCCAGGCCTGGGTAAAGCACACACGCCACCTGTCCACAGCTTCTCCTGGAGCTCAGAATTCTCTGGGCTCTGAAACAAAATTTGTTTTACAAAATTGGCTTTACCAACAACCCTTCTGCCTTCAGCTTGTCACCCCCACTGTCTTCACTAACCCTGAACCCCCCTTTTTCCTTTAGGAAGAGAAGACCATCAGCATCAATATGTCATAACTGACAACTGACTTCACAGTTTACTATAATCTATTGTGTCTCATTTGATCTCTTTTGTGACGCAGCTGAGCAGGGCTGGTGAGGACAGGACATTGTGGACATCAGGCCTTCAGAGAGTCGCCAGGAGTTGGACCTGACCCAGGAACCCCACACACACACACACACAGGTCCCAGGCACCTAACACCCAGCGCTCAAAAGGAAGCGCTAGTCTTTCTGCTTGACTGCAGAACAATTCAGAGCTCAGAGGCACTTCTCTGGTATCACTAGTACAGAAGAAATTTGAACCCCCTTCTGTCCAATCCCAGAGCCTGAAGGGACTCTTTCCAAAGACCCTATCTCTGATTTTCACAGCCTTTTCTGGGGGAGCCCTTGCTGAGGAAGGAAACCTATAACCTGAATCCCCAGCCCAATGGGGACAAAGCTAAACCACCAAAAAAGGGCCAGAGAGCAAAGACTCAAGCTCCAATTCCCCCTCAGCCTTTGACCTCCCTCCGCCCAAGCCTGCACCCAGAGCTGGGCGATGAGGTTGGGCTGTGACCGCAGGAGGGAGGGAGTCTGGTTCCAGACCCAGCTCAGCTGCACTGCAGCCTTGAGCCCCTACCCCAGGCTCCCCGGCTCCCAGGCTCCCCGGCTCGTGGGCTCATCTCTAGAGTGGAAGTGCTCACAGTGCCATGCAGGGCTGGGCTAAGGCTCGGATGTCCTGGCAGGCAAATGCCTTTCACGTGTGCGGTGCTCAGAATCCACTTATTCCTTTCCTTCTCTCCCCTGCATGTGACATTTCCTTCAGAAAACATCTCATCTCCAGCTTTGGTTTCTCATCAGGAGAAATACGTGACTTCAGGTGCGCTGTGCTGGGCACTCAATGAATGTCCATCCCCTGGGGCAGGTGAAGGGGACAAGCTGGATGAAGGGGTCGGTGGGGACAGAGCTGAGCAGAGAGTGGGGAGGGGTGGGTGGGTAAGGTGGAGAGGGTTGACCTCCTGTCTCACTCAGGGCACAGGGAAGGGCAGGGCAAGGCCAAGAAGGCCCTGCTCCACCTGCCATTTCGTTGATGGTGGCCTTGTGCAAATGGCCTGCTTTTCCCTTTCCGGGCCTGTTTTCTCCCTGCAAAGTGGAGCGATCTGAAAGGTCCCCGTCACCCGGAATTTTCTAGCATACTCCGAGTCAGCCTTTCTCCAGGATGGTTCCTGATCCGGCTGAGGAGGCCTGACCCTCCTGCTCCTCCATAGCCTTCTGCCCGCCTTTTCATTCTCCCGCCACTGCACCCTCCTACCCTCTCCTTCTCAGACATGTGGGGTTTATTTTTAACCAGAGTTTGCCAGCAAGATCTGGAAAAGCCAGTCTGCAGAAGCTGTTCCAGGATTTGTTTGCTGCCTCCCCCACAGTAAAAGGGTAAATAGGTTGGGGCAGGGAGACCTGCCCACCGGTGTGGAGTGAAGGGCAGCAGACCTGGGAACTAACACAGCTGGGTCTTCCTCCACCGGCTGGGCTGGAAGCCCTCCCCTCCCCCATCCCCCGCCCTGTGGTGGTGGGGAGGAGAGGGTGCATTGTGGCCGGGGAGGAAGTGGAACCTTCTGGGCTTCCTGAGTCACCTCCCCAGCAGGAGCTGATTGGCCAGGGCTTCCCTCTTCCCTGGGGAGTGTCTGGGCAGAGTGGCGCAGTGCCCTGTGGAGCAGGCCCGGCCTCTGTCCCGCTCTGGCACGGGGGAGGGGGCAGGTGAGGTCAGGTTACCCAACAGGCGGATTAAGCATGTGCTTAGGGGTACTGGCGGTAAAAGGGCAACAAAACGTTTGATTTGGTTTGGGCTTTTTCAGGGGTCTGATTCTTATTATTTCAAACATAGCAAGGAAGTGGTCACCCTGGGAAAAATCAGAACTTTGTGGGATTTCCTCTCTCTGATTTAAAGGTTCAGAGTGGTTTTTATTTTGAATTTCATGCCAGTGGGTAGGGGGAGGTGCACCTTAGCCTCTCAGTTCTTAGGGCTGCTCAAGGTCTTAATCCAGCTCAGGGTAAACCAAGGATCAGAAAGGGGGCGGGGACCTGAGGTATTGATGGGGAGCTAGCATGTGACCTCAGCATAGTTCTGTGGCCTGGAGGGGGAGCTCTCGGACAGAAGGGGGCGCTGCACTGTCACATGGAGGGTGAGGCCCGAGTAGAGCACACAGACTTCGGGGGGGGGGGAATAAAGGTGTGGACAGTGGTGGGAAGTGTGGGGCAGGATCGCTCAGGGCCCTGGAACCAAGCCCAGCAGCCTGAAATGCCCACCGCTGGACCAGACGTGGCATTTGCTCTCCCTCCGCTCCGTCCAGAAACGGCACGGCTCTTGGCCAGAGGTGGCCAAAGTCATGGCCACTTTGGAGGAGGAGCTGGCAGTCCATTTTCTGGAAGATGGTTCCCAGGATGGCACTCGGCCTGAGTCCCCTGTGGGGCACAGCAGGATCTTGGGCCCGCTGTCCTGGAGTCCCCTAGAGAAGGAGCGACGGCCTTTCCGGCCAATGAGCAGCCAACAGCAAATATTTGCTGAGCACCTACTATAAACTAGGTGCTTTCTGTGTATTACCTCAGTGAACCCTCATACCACTGTGTGCTGTGGTCACTTTGTCCCCACTCTATAGGTGGGGACACAGGCTCAGAGCTGTCTGCACCTGCCAAAGAGCACGCAGCTAGCTCTTGGCAGGCTGAGGGCGTAAACCCAGTTATCTGACTCCGCCCAGAATACTTGATTCCACACCACAGGCCTCCCCGCTGCTCCAGGCCTGCGAGAAACAGAGACCAGCTGCCTCCCTCACCCTTCTCTGGCCCCACCATGCACCCCTCAACCTCTACAGAGCAACATACAGTTGTGGGCCCTCCCACTACGGCCAGGAAGACAAACAAGCTTTCCAGGCCCCAATATCCGGCAGGGCCCAAGGCAAAAATGAAAATGTGGAATCCCTTGTTCAAAAGTATTAAGAATTTCAGGACAGGCCCTGGCTGGTGTGGCTCAGTGGATTGAGTGCCGGCCTGTGAACCAAAAGGTCGCTGGTTGGATTCCCAGTCAGGGCACATGCCTGGGCTGTGGGCCAGGTCCCTGGTTGGGGGTGTTTGAGAGGCAACTACACATTGATGTTTCTGTCCATCTCTTTCTCCCTCCTTTCCCCTCTCTAAAAAGTAAATATATATATATTTTATTCATTTATTTATTTTTTAATTTCAGGATGGCAATAGCAAAGCATTAACCCATCTTCAGCACTGGGACCTGGGGTGACCGCCTAGGCCCACATCCATGGCGCCAGGCCTCCCTGGAAACCACACGACCCCCAAAACAAACTCCTTCCTTACCTGGGAGATTCCATAGTCAAGTAGGTACGTGGCAGTTCAAGGGCCCTGAGAGTACAGGCCTCGGGAAGTGAAGGCTGCCCCAGCCCAGAGGCCCTCCCACTTGTCCTCAGATGCTCCGACCTGGCACTCTCGCCTCCCAGGTCACCTCTGCCCACCTAGAGCCCATCAGGTGCTGTCTGAGCTGGGATGAGGCAAGTGGGCCCCGAGGGTATCTGATGGCAGAGCTATAGAGCAAAGCCCCCCTTCTCTTTTTGACTGACTAACCCCAGCACCTGTTCCTTCACCTGTTCCTTAACCCTTGCCTCTTCCCTCATCTGACCAGCATTTAGCCATCATCCGATAGTCTGCTGAGGATTCAAGAATGAATTCACTCTGGAACAGTGCCTGCCCCGACCCATTGACATTTGCAGGAGAGGAAGTGGTAGCTTCTGTACGATGTCACCAGGGAGCTGAACCCCATGCTGAATGTGCCTACTCACAGGCATGATCTCGTTTAACCCTCCCCACAGCCCGGCAGGTGGGCATCACGCCCCTTTAACCTGAGAGGAGGATGAGGCTCTGAGAGCAACGGAGTAACATGCAGAAGGTCCCACAGCAACTGACTAGCGTGCAGAGACCAGGATCTGGGCCCACAGGTCTCTTCAATTTCAGCACAAGCTGCTCCTAACCCGGCCTGCAAGGAGCCCTTTCTGACCCAGGACAGGGCTCAGTGTCATCGCTGTGCTGACTTTCTCCCTCACACGCGATCCTGTCCCAGGTGAGTCCCTCCACTGCTGTGCTCTGTGTACCAGCCCTTCCTCCGAGGGTCCCGTGGGCATTTACACACTTAATGCTCCGTGGTGCATTGATGGCACCGTGGTGTAGGTACAATTCTTATGCCTGTCTTCTCGGTAGAGGGGCCAACGCAGGGGAGCAAGACAAGTAAACAGAAGAGTTGGGATTCATGCCCAGGCTCTCTGGCCCCAGAATCCATGCTCTTGACCACTACACACAGCCGGAAGCCCCCTTCCTGGGTTCAAGTCCTGGTGCTCCAGCAGCACCACGTGTTGGCTCCTCCTTGTGTGTCTGGGTCCCTCATCTGTAACCTGCGGACCACAGCGCCCACTCCGCAGGGCTGTGGTGCGGGCCAGGTGGGTGGCACGTGCACGGCACTCAGAGCCCCACGTACACAGACGGGGCTGTGTGAATGGCGGCCACCATCAATCTGACTGCTCGTCCGTACTTCCTCTCCTTGGTGTCGCCTCCCCTCTTCAAGGCTGTCGTTCAGTAATTCCTGTCCGCCTTCTGCTGCATGCAGCCTCATTCTCAACTAGCTCCTTCCTTATAACTATGCTTATGTCTCTCTTAACTGTTGTCGAAGAAACTATTCCTTCCTGCCCCCTGTCTGCCAGGTTCTCTCCTTCCCTTCAAATACAAGACCCGGGGCCAAGCTGGCCTTCTGCTGTCCCCACACTTTACCCCCCATCGCCTCACACACCCTGCGTTCTAGCTTCTGTCCCGCCCCCCATCTTGCACATACCACTCTGGCCAGGGTCTCCAGGGACCACCCCGCTGCCACACTGAAGGGACACCTTCTCGGCCGTATCACCAACTGGTGGCATCTCCTTTGGCAGACAGGACGCTACTTCCTGTGATTGTCCTTCTATCTCTCTCACTTTTCATTCTCCCCACCCCAGGCTCCTCCCCCTCCAACCCTGGAAGGGGCGCCCCTCCCAACATTCATGTCCTCTCATTCCACCCACTTTCCCTTGGGGACCTCATCCAAATTCAGAGCTCGGCTACCACCCACAAGAAGACAACACAGGTCTCATCTCCTGCTCAGGCCTGTGTGCAGAGCCCGGATGGGCACGTCTACCTGCTTACCTGGCATCCCCGCTCCGCGCCACCCACCGCTGACCCACCGCACTTCAGGGCCTTGTCCACGGTGGGCCTCGCCTCTTCCCCTAAGCCTGCTCCGTCCCTGGGAACCCAAGCTGAGGGTGTCGGAGCACCACCAGGGCCTGCCGCCTCTCCTCCTAGCAGCTCTTAGACCCTCCCAGAAATGCAGCCCTACCTGAATCTGGCCCCTCACCTTCTGCCTGGATCACTGCCATCACCTCCTAGCTGCTTTTCCAACTTGGTCCTCACCCTGCTAGAAGGATCTTTTCTGAGGGCAAATCAGATTGTGTCCCTCTGCATATTACGCACCCTCGAAGATACTCCCTTCAACGGCCACTCAAGATTAATCCCAAGCCCATCATCTGAGCCCAGGGTGTCCTGCTTGCTGGTTCTGCCTCACCTCTCTTCACGCTCCAGCCAAACCAAGCCAACTCCTTGCCCTTCTCTGGCCAAATCTTGCTCTTCTCCCTCCCAGCCCCCCTTCTCCCTGCTCTCTCCTTCCTTTACAGGCCCCACCTCTGGAAGGGGTCTCTGTCCCCAGTGCCCTGCCTGTTTTCCTCTGGTCACAGCACTTACAAGTCCCCTTCCCTTCCCAGCACAGAAAGTGTAGGGGAGGGCAGGGGGCACCACAGCCAAGCAAGAATAAGGGTGACAATACCCAACATTCATTAAGAGCCAACAAACCAAGCCAAGATGGTGTCTGAATTCCTCCAACGACCTCGTGAGGGTAGTCCCATTTCACAGGAAGACGGTGAGGCTGTGAGAGACAAGTAACTTGCCCCAAGTTAACAGCAGAGCCAGGATTTGAACCCAGACATATCAGTCAGTTTGCTGGGTAAACTCAAGTTTTCACTGAAGCGCGGGTCTTTGATAAGCATTGGAGGAGAAGCAGGAGGAGCGAGGAGGACAGAGGGAGGGGGGGCAACTTTGCAGCAGAAGCGACAGCCTGCCCTGGGCTTCTCCAGCCTCCTCTGCCATCCTGAGGGAGCAGGGACCCCGCTGCAGGCACTGAACCTCAGTGGGGAGGACGGAGCCCTAGGAGGAGCCACTGGCAGGTGCCACTGGAGATGAAGGAAGGGATAAGGAGGTCAGACTCTGACTCAGCTGGTTCCCAGGGAGGAGACCTTGACCTGGACCGAGTGGGATTAAGAACAGGAGGTGTGGGCTGTCAGGGGCCTCCCTGTTCCCAGGGTGCTGCTGGAGGCAGCGCTGTGGCCGGCTGACACCTGCTGACCCCTTCTGCCTCCATGGGGGAGGGGCAGGCTGAGGACAGGTAGGAGTCAGTGACAGGGGGTGTGAGCTTGGGTTGACGAAGAGCTGTAGCTGCCAGCTCCCTGCTCTCAGGCCAGCCCAACAGCCTCTCCCAGCTCCAGCTGGGTTGCTGTCCTCACTAAGGCCCTTCAGGGGCCGGACCAGCCTGACGCCTGAGAAGCAGCCTCCCCTCGGCCTAGCCATGCAGTGTAACCTCAGGTGAGAGGGAGGACCTCACGGCAGCTCCAGCTTTCCCCCTCTCTGGCCTACCCTGGGAAGCTCCCCATTGCCCCTCTCTCTGTCCCCTAAAACGATCCTAACTCTGGAGGGCTCCCTCTCCCCCTGGAGGGCATGATGGCAACTCCCCAAGTCACAAACTGGTTGCCTGGTCTCAGCCGGACAGAGCATTGTAGGCCTGTGGCCCTGTACAAGCGGGGAGGGTGGAGTTTGTAGGAGGCGGTCACATGACTGTCTGGGCCGAGACCCAGGGCGCAGAGTTAATTCCTTCTTGTTCACGTGGCCCAGCATTCCAGAGCTGCCTCTCCAGGGGTGCCGGCCGCCAGCGTTGCCCCAGGCACCCCCAGTGACCCAAACCTGTTCTCAGAGGCAGCGGAATCTCCCGGAGCTGTGGCTCCTCGGTCATGAACTTTCAGGATCCAAATTCAAGGGCTCATTCTCTCTTGTAGCACAAACCCAGGCCTCCCCGAAGGGTTTGCACTGGTGGAGAGTGTCGTGCAGCAGCTGGCACTGGGAACATACGAGTGACCTTCAGATGTGAGAGGCGGGCCGCAGGGCAGGGCCAGTCACTTCCTGCCTTGTCTGTGAAGTAGGGGTAATAATAGTACCCGCTACGGTGTTTTCCTGTTAAAGAAACCAGTGGCCTTAAAAGTTTGCCATGGTAAAGGAGAAAGAGTTTATGACAATGCCTAGGCCACTGTCGGCCCCTACGTTCATACTCAGTAGTGTTTCTCCCTCCTTTTCAGCCACGGTTTCCCCGGTCTGTCACCTAAGACAGCAATTCTTCCAGCTTCACGAAGCCACCCTGTGTGGTGGGGGGAGAGAGGACGGCCGCTACTGGCAAGGAAGGCACTGAACACTGCCGGGGGCACCCAGCCCCTCTGGCCACCACCCCACCGCTCCCCACCCTCACTCCTTCCAGGGAACACCCCGCTCCCAAGCCACGCAGGGGCTCCCTTAGGGAGCCAATGCACCGCAGCAACGTAGGTGCCAAGGGTATGGGCCAAGGACAGACGGACAGACACACGCCTGCACAAACGCATACCCCTTGCCCAGGAGCCTGTGAAGAATAATAGTGAACTCCTGCCTGGGGCCGGGGGTAGGGGACACCCCGGACCCAAACTGGGGCTCTGACCCAAGTCCAGCTCCTTGCCCTGGACCTTCTTTCTTGTCGTTGGCTTGTCCCAAGGTCTTCCTCCAGGAGACACCTATTATAAATCTAAGCTTCTTTGAGCATCTAATACTGCTGAAAAGACACACAGAGTAACTGCCAACAGCGCCTCCCTCAGCGGAGGGAGGCTGGAGCCCAGGGCCGGGAAAGAGCCTGACTGACTCTCCACTGAGTAACTTTTCATTGCTACTTGATTTTTGAAAAATCATGCACATGTAATAGGTTTTTAAAAATTAAAATACTCTACCCCTGGGATGGAGTGATGGTGAAGGGCTTTGCTCGCTGTGCTAAGGACTTTGGACCCGATCCTGTCGGCAATAAGGAGCCAGGGAAGCTTTCTAAGCAGGGGACATGGTGCACTCAGATGTGAAGAAGCGTTGACTGCTACAGAGCGTGGCCTGCAGTGGGCGGAGACTGAAGCCACCAGGAGACCAGGGGAGGATGGGGCCCTTCCTTTTTTGTGTGTCTAGCCTGAAGCAGGGACCCACGGATTGTGGGTCCACAATATGGTACCCACAGAGAAGTAAGTGACCCCAAAGGACATGAGACAACCAAGGCAGGCCCATCGAGTTAACTGTCACCTCTTTGTCCCCAAAACAAGCTTGTAGGGCTGATGTTCCCCATGGAAATTAAAACCCCTTCTGCTTTCTGCCCACCTCTGTTCAAACAAAGCTGAGACAGAGGGGACTTGTTCTTTAGTGGAGGTCGGGGGTAGCTGGCAGCTGAGGGAGGCTTCAGAGGGGCAGCCTTGCCCCAGAAGCCCTGCTTGGACACACCTCTTCGACAGCACCACCATGTGTCCCCAGAACACTGAGCCTAGGAAATGCCCTCTCTTCGTGGCTTCCCCATGTCCCTCCTGTGGACAGCTTTGCTCGCTGGCTCGGCCAGGCTCCCACAGAGACGCCAGGAGATGGGGACAGGGCTGGGGCATGGGGCTCAAGGGCTGAGTAGTCTGGGTTTCCTGAGCCCTGCAGATCAGAAGTCAGAGGCCCTCTGCAGACAGCAACATGGGAGTCGGTGGGGTTGGGGGCAGTCCAAGCGCCAGGCCAGTCTGGGTTTGACTTGTGTACCAAGGATGGATGGATGGATGGCCTTGGGTGTTTATTAACCTGTCTGTGAGATGGAACTCAGCACACCCTCGTCATGGGCTGGACGAAAACTTGGCTACCCAGCACGTCACACAGCACCAGCATGCCACTTGTCTCTCTCAGCTCCCTCTTTAGCAGTGGGGAGAGAGTGCCAGGCAGACATGGGTGACGGGGAGACAGGAGAGAAACTCCAAGCTCAAGGGAAGGTGGGAGGAGTCTTGGTGGATATTCTCTTCTCTCTCACTACTTACTTTTATGCCCAGATGGTTGCTTATCTGTCTTTAAACCAGAAGTTTCCCCCTGACATATGTGACTCAGTTGGTTGGGCATTGTCCTGCAAAGCGTAAGGTTGTGGGTTTGATTCCTGGTCATAGCACATGCCTGGGTTTTAGGTTCAATTCCTTGTCAGGACATGCACGAGAGGCAGCTAATAAATGTTTCTCTCTCACATCATTTCAATGTTTCTCTCCCTTTCTTTCTCCCCTTCTTCCCCTCTCTCTAAAAATAAATAAAATTTAAACAAAACAAAACAAAAAACCTTCAGAAGTATCTAGTCAGCAAAGGGAAAGGTAGTATGAAGGTCCATAGCTCAAAGGTTGCAAAAAGATTCTACTAGTTCAGGCCCACCTGATATTTACAGTTAAAAACCTAGAAACTTCTCTGAACATCCTCTTTCCCAAATGGTCTGGCTGCAAGAGACCAAGGGGCAAATGCTTGTCCCCAGTCCTCCAAGAGTTAGTAATAAAACATTGATCCCCAATCTACCAAGTACTCATTCTCCTTTTGCCCATCTTATCACCACCCTTTCTCAAATAGAGACGTAGTTAAGCTGTGTGTCCTTACGGTTTTAAAAAATGTCTATTAGAACTGTTCCCTAATAGGGATCTAGTCCAGCCTTTGCTGCTGTGTGACCTTAGGCAAGTTACTTCACCTCTCTGTGCCCGGGGGCCCTCATCTCTATGAGGTGGATGGACAGACCTAACTTGTAGCCTCGAGAGGTCCATGGACGGGCTTTAGATGTGCGGAAACCCCCTTGTGAATGCTGGCTGCATCCCAGGAAGGAGCTGAGTGGCAGAGAGGCCGACTGTACAAAGGAGACCTCACAGTTGTGCTGTATTCCTCCCTACATCTGTTGAATTTTGAACGAAAGGAATGTATGATCTATTCAAAAATAAGCACATAATATTTGTAGTAAAAAGTGGAGAAAACGTAGGCGAATCCACGCGTGTGGGAGTACCTGTACTTTCTGGGAAAGGATACATAGTTTCTATCAGAGTTTTCTAAGGTGTCCCTAACCTGAAAGGTTTGGAAAGCTTTTCACTAGAGGACCTGCAGAGTCATCCCCAGTTCCAGTTTTCCTTAGTCTGATAAAGTGGGAGAGAAGGCAAAGGGAATCCCGGTGCTCATACACGACAGCCTGGGCTGGGTGCGCACCTCACGTTTAATGATGCAGGCTTGCCTGCCCCCGGGAGCCGAGCAGGTGCACAGGAGAATGCTGGCCTTGACATTTTGGATCTCCTATGGTGCGTGCCACCTTCAGAGACCAAGGTAAAAAAAAAACGACCCCAGTCAACCTATTCTCTTAAAATCTCCTTCACTCACTCCCTGCCTCCCCCGACCACAACCCTAAAGAAACTTCCAGCTTGGGTTAGCTGCCCAAACAATGAATAAATAAATACAATACGGATTTTTAGATGTTGGCCACTTGGGCTCTCAGGCGAAAGGGAGTGAGAAGGATGGAAGACCGGAGGAGGTGATGATCAGGGTGAACTGGGGAGGAAGGAAGCCCACGCTCGCCCAGAGACCTCTGTGTGAATCTCTCAGACCCACGAGAATCCCCGGGAACAGAAGAGGAAAATGCTTCCCAGGTCTGCAGAGTGGAAGGCTTCAGGGAAGGAGGAACCCAGCTAAGGGATCAGACTGAGACTGGTTAAGGCAACCAGACTAGCCGCTGAATTGGCCAGAGCGAAGAGAAAGGTCACATGGTCTCGAAAAAGGAGGAGGGAGTAAAGCCATCGAACAGATGGCCCCTGGCTATGGTAAACTTTAATTAACTGCACCATTATAATTCACTTCCAGCCCGAGTTCCTCCCCAACCTCCACTCTCCCTCCCACACCCTTCCTCTTCTCCTCCAGGTCTCATCAAGGCAGGTTTCCTCCATGAAACCCACAGGCTGCCTTCGCTGGGTGCCTCATGATCGTAGCCACGGCCTCTCCTGCTTATAATGCACCCAGAAACAGGAAGAGGGGCAGGCTACACGGCTCCCGATGACAGGCCCCTTTCCTACCTCTTGCACTAAATCAAAGGTCTTGTAATACTAAAAGTTCTGGAAGGTACTGCCTTAGCAATGAGACTGTGGCAGGCCAGGAGGAGCTGATGTGCATGCAGGGCCAGCTAGCAGGGCTCGCTCCCTTTTGGAACCGCCCGACAACGCTCAGCGTCCTCACCCGGACAGGTAATCCACACACTGACATTCACACGTACAGTTCAACGCTGTGGCTGTGCCCACCGCTCCTTCCTCCAACGGTGGTTCAATTACGCCCGTGACATTCTATCTTTATTCTCAGGCTGCTGAGCTTTAGCCATTTTCAGAGTGTGTGCATTGGGAGTGGGGGTTGGGAGCACCTTAGAGGATCTTCCAGGCAAAGCATTGCTTGGTTTTTATTAATGAGCTTATGAGAAAAGCCAACCCAGACCTTTAAGTGAAATGCGTGATTGGTAGCCAGGCAAGGATGGGTTTTAGAATTAACTCTTCCTACAGTCTGCTATGCATTATCACCCCCAAGTTAATTACCCCTGGGGATGAAAATAGGTTTCATGACTCATAAGCACCAATACAACACTTGGCAGCAGATGAAAATGCAAGGACACATTTGCAGGAAGCTGACACGAATATCTATTTATATGTGGGGAGATTCTTAAAGAGGTGAGACAGGCGCCTCCCATACACCAGGAGTGAGAGGCTGCGGGCTAAGAGGCTGCAGCAGATCCATGAACTGCCATTTATCCACACCCCCGGCACACACACACAACACACACACACACACAGTCATGGTTTCCACTACTTCAATGATGGTGGTGGCAAAGCAGGAACAGAAACTAAAAGGGTGTTATTAACAGCAAGTCCCAACACCAACCCAACCTCCACACCACACCAGCGGTGTTCTGAGCTAGCAAACCCGTGCTTTGTCCATCCCCCCCACCACCCCCAGACGTGCCTGTGCCCATACCACCTCCCTACCCTCCTGCTCCCTCTTTGATGGGAGTGGGGTGAGGGGCGGGTCACCAAGTCTCTTCCCTTATTTGCTTGTTCTTTGGTGAGAACTGCCTGGGCCCACCTTGCTCCAAGCAGGAATGGGGTGTGGCCAGGAATGAATTTCAGATAGGATCGCAGGTTCTTTTACTCTTGTCCTAGTTGCTTCCCAGGGTAGTACAAGGCTCGCACAAGGGGTCCTTGCCTTCCCCCAGCTCTGGGGGAGCTCCCATCCAGACCCTGCCAAGGGGGCTCAAAGCGCTGAGGACATTCCTGTTGCCCAGTCTCCTTTCCCACCCTCTACACCTCACAAATGCCGCCGGGAAGTTGATTAGATAAGAATTCATTTCTTCACCAGGGAAATGGGTTTCATTTGATGTCCTAAGTGACCTTTGCTCAGAAACTCGGTTTGGAGTTTTTTCTCTCTTCCCCACAACTTTCTTCTGACTAGCCAAGCGCCTGCCTTTAGGAATACTTACTGAAAAGGGAGGAAAGAAAAGCGTGTAATAAATGAGGTGAAACCGCTCTTCCAATGCATCAGCTGGAAGCCGCTGGGACGCTCCTGGCTCAGCAGTACATGCACTTGCTTTTCCAGTTGTCCACACCTCTCCTGCCTCCCCAGCGGCTCTCAGCTCTGTGGCTTTTTTGGTTTAAATGTGGGAACACAATGACAGGCCAGAAGCGAAGCACCCTAGGCTCTCCCATCCCACCCCACATATCAGAGCTGCACGGGGTGTCAGCACATACTCATGGCCACAAGGCAAGGCACACACGCACACAAAAAAGCATTCCTGACTGCCATTTGCAGCTGGGGCACCCACACAGCCAGAAGAAAATAGAGATGCTGAAGAGTAAACAGAACTCCCTTAGTCAGCAACTGTCCCTGCCCTCGAGGTGAATGTAAATAGCCTGGTACTGAGGGGGGAGGGCAGCCAGGCAGCACAGGGCCTTCTGCAGATGCCACTTCTGAGGGCTTCCCGAGGCACCAGCATCAGAGTTCCAGCTGGAGGCAGGGAGTATCCCGGTGCTGGAGCTGTGGCCTACCCCGAGAAAAACACACTTGCCGACTCGGGGCAGAATTAATATCAATTGAATTTATTACAAGTTACTAAGCTCCAAGGCACATTACAGTGTTCTGTTAACTACAGAAATGTATAAAGGACAAACAGAGCAGGTTCTCCATGTCTAGCATTTCGCTCTACTGTTCAAAAGCATCCGTGCATCGATAAAGCAAAAACCAAACAACACGTGAAGGTCCGCCACATTCAGGTCCGTTGAAACAAACCCAAACATTTTCCCCTCACAAACTTGCAACGAAAAACACCCCACCCCACCCCCAACATCCCCTTTACCATTTTGCAAACAGAACAGAAAAACAAAACAAAACAAAGTGAAGACTTCAACACTTGGGGCTGTTTAGAAAGAAGCTGTCACCATTTTATAGCATCATTTTTTAGGCAGCAACACTGGCCTTGGCAAAAAAAAAAAGTCATTTTCTTTTGTGTATTTCTTTCCTTTCAGAGAGTGCATAACATTTACAAAAATACACACCAGCAGCAGTGTTGCTAAGGGCTATTAATTCTGCACCTAGGCAAACACTCTGCCACCAAATAAATGCTAACAAATATGATGCAAATGACTCAAACCAATATTATACTGCTTAACACAAACCAGCTTATCCTTCAAATGAAGAAGTTACATACCTTAGTTTCAAAATATAGAAACATACGACGAAAATAATGTCTATACATAAGACTAACTTTTTGCAGTTTTGTTATATTCACAATTCTACATCTTGGGGGTGAGGGAAGGGAGGGTCGATGTAAATGGGGGAGGGGCCCTCTAGATTGGAGAGGAGCTGGTCTGGATGAAAGGAGATAGCTGTCTTGTGGTTCAAGGGTCTCTCTCCTTTTTCACTTTAACATCCCCAGCTAAGATCGTCGCGATTTCACCCTGCATGAAGGCCCAAGGTACATTCGACCCAACTAGGGGGCATTTCTCTCCGCTGGGGCAGTACACCTCGCCGGTGGCCCCCTGAGCCTTAATACTCTCTCTTGAGCAAGGGAAGCAGAATTTGTGGCTGGGGACGGATGGGCACTGAACGAAATGCGTGTCCTCCAAACGTTCGTGGCAAATGGTACAGCAGAGGGGCCCGCTGTTGGCCA